GTATAATAGGGAACCTTTAAAGCCCCTGTCAGATTTAAAGTACTTCCTATCAAATTATAAGCACTATTAAAAAGGGGGAAGTTGGTAAATATTTATTTAGAGTTCAAGACTCCTCTGATTTGTTTTCATCAGGACTTTGTGAGAGTGTTTTGATTGGATTTGATTGGCAGCAGTTGACACAACTGTCGTACTATTCTGAACAAAATATTCCTAATTGTTTCACAGAAATGTATGACATCTCCTTTTTTTCCCCACTTCTAACACAAAGCAAAGCAAACGGCGTGTAGATATTTAAAAACCCACTTTTCATTCAGAAGTGGGCGATGGGTGGAGGTGGAAACTGTCCAGCAAGATGAAGGAAGCGAGTTACCGAGGTGTGTTTCCTGCATTCAAAGTGGGCTGGAGTCACAATTATGTTCATGTGTGGTTCAGTGGCTGATTAAATGACTTGATTATTTGTGTCCCCTGGGGAGAGCTGAACACATTTCCCAAGAGCGCAATGTCCCAATGTTAAGTCTTCAAATTGATCTCGTTTTGTCTGACAGACCGTTCAAAACGCAAACGTGCTTTGTACAGGTAACATCATAGCTGGGGAGGAAAACATGCCCATTTCATCTGGAACCCGCTGCCTTTTCTTTTACGGCCATCGAACATCGGAACATGCTTCCAGCTGAGTTTAAGACGTGCACTGACTTCCACTATTTTTCCCATGGTGCAGGAAAATGGACGTTGAGCAGCATTACTCTGACTGTATTGTGAAATGTTAGATTCAATTAATTGTAACATTATAGTTGTGCTAGTATTTATATGTTATACTTCTGTACTTTGATCTGTATTAAGTGTGATACACTATGAAGTGTTTGTTGATTGTGTGTTTGTGATTTCTCCTTGCATTTCAAGCTAATTATTAGAGGACATAAAGCCCTCTAATTATGCTATTGTTAGCAGTCACTTCATCAACTGGCACATCACTAAGCTGATGAGAAATCGTGCCTGATAAGAATATGGTATACCAATCAATGACTACATTGTTTTGTTAAGTGTCCAAACCATAAATCTCTCCTGTCTTTTTTATAACACCACACATGTACAATTAGCATGGGCTTGTTTCTACAGAGGAGGCTTAAACTCACGTCGATGATGAAGTCAGTGAAGGGTTTCAGGCTGTCCGGCTCCTCTCTGCTCTTGCACAGCTCCTGTCTGTATTTGACCAGGAACAGAGCCAGGGTCTTCTCCTCCTTGGACACCTTCAGCCGGAGGTCCATCCTCTCCACCTCCTCCGGGCGGCGGAAGAGAGCAGCCAGGACGGTCATGGGTTTGGGAGAGTGGTCTTTGGCTTTCTGCCACACTCGCTTAATCTCCTCCACGTTGCCATCTGGAGGCAAACCTGAGGAGCAGCAGACGGGACTTTAACAAGTACAACAACACAGAATACTACATTTTGCTGTTGGTCAAAAGCCGAAAAGTCTTAATATCCTTGTAGAAATCGTCAGTGGTGAAGAAATTACTTACTTACTCATGAAGGGTAACCATGGCAACCATTGCAACCATGCGCGGGAAGTCTTCTTCGCTGCTTTTGTGGCAGGACTACAGCGCCACTTACAGGCCTGGCATATGTACTACAGCGTCTCCAGCGCTTTCGAGCGGTCTCGTGTGAACGGACTCGTTTCTGGTGCCTGTTGCGTGTGGACGGAATACTTTTTTGATATCGATTTCGGTCCGTTTGCGTTATCGTCTTCGTGTGGCTCCAGCCTTAAAGCCTGAGCAGCTGACCCTAAGGGACTTTCATTAACATCAGCCGGTAATTGCTGGAGAGCGAGGGGCTACAAAGAGCTGGAAGTGGTGTACATTAGGAAGGGACAGCACTTTGCAACACATCACTTTAAGTGGGTTTGGGACTTTTCATTTAAGGTGTTCACTTCCTTAGAGGCCAAAGCAATTTAGGAATTGGTCCCTTATATGACCAGGCTTACAGAGTGGAAGAGAGGTGATTGTCAACTCGGTTTTGTTAAAACTATACAATAAATGGTTGATGCATACGTTACATGTGTTTATGTAGTGAAATATACTAAGCTGAACACCCATGAGCACACCCTTATGCACTGTGACAGATGAACCATACGCACAGTAGGGTTGCCAGAAACTGACCATGATCAAAATCGATTATTCGGCAGCCCTGGCGAATAATAATCGATTATTCGACCGACCCCGACCCCCCCCCCTCAGACAAAAGGAATTCCGTTGTTTTTTTTACTGGAACATGTTTAACAGTACAAACAACAAACATGCACGCATGTCATCACAACGACGTGGCCTTGAAGTGAAGTTGGTAATGGCCGGCTGTGCTGCGTCTTTCTCTGTAACCTCTTTGGCGTGCTTCGCACTCAAATGCGAACGCATTGTTGAGGTTGAGCTATGATAGACCAACGTCTTTTCGCAGAGCTTGCATTTAACTTCCTTTGGACTTGTAAGTTCGAAGTATTTCCACGAGGAGGAACTC